GGGAGGGGGAGGGGCTGAAGGTGGGCATTCTGCTTACCACTGGGGGAGGCAGAATCGGGTCCTAGAGATGCTGCAGCTGAGATGGTAAGTTTGCAAGGAGCTGGTGGGGGTGAGCGAGCCCATTTCTGAATTCCACTTACAGATGTTTTACAGTGAAAACAGGAAAGCGGAAACATGCTTCATATCTGACTGAAAATAAAGGTACTCTTAAACTTGTAAAAGACAACATTTTTATTTGAATGATATGACAGAGCTGCCACAGGAGTGTTACCTGCTATAAAGAAAGCTTAAGAATTATTACCTTTATTAGACCAGTGACACTGAGCTTTAGCCATACATTTCTAACTTCTGTCCCTCTACAGAGACAATTTTCTTTTCTTAAATAAACTGTCATGCTAGTGTTAATATATTGTTGGCTCCCTCATACTCTGAGAATACTGCTGATATAAAACATGTATATGTTAGATTGGTAATAGTATCTTTAGTGTAGCTGACTAGAACAAATGTGTTTCCCTCATGGCTGTGCTAATGTGATAAAGGAAAATTGGCTGTTCATCAGCTTTTGGCTGGGTAAAGACAGTAGAGATGGAACCACATTCTTTTTTATGCATTAATACCACTGAGAACTTTTCACTAGTTATATTTCATGTGCAGGCATGTTGTGCAAAGATGTTGTAAAACATGAGATAATGCTACAAATAACAGAGTAGAAAAGCCTGTATCTTTTATGATGATAACAGTCAAACACCAAATGACAGTAACAGGCTGTAAAAAATGTGATGCAGAAAAAAAATGCAATGTAACCACCATATACACATATACTTAGGCTCTTGCAAATAGGGCATCAGATGTTTAGAGGGCTTTGAATTAAAATTAAATAAAAAACTGTTGTATTTAGGTCATTGATGTGTCAACACAAAAGACAATTTAAAATGGAGAGATGTATTTTGAGTGGTGAAACTCATATGCAATAACTTTTTGAACAAATCTCAAGGCTTAGTAATTATGATAATAGCCTTCAAATTTCCATCGGTGGAAGGGCAATAAATATTCCTGTCTAAATTTGGGAAATATTGACTGAATCTGGAAATGGCAATAAAGCTCGGCTTGCATGTGCATTGTTTGAAAGTGCAACTTAAGGAGAAAAATTCATCTGTACAATCTCATGTGAAGGCTAAATAAATAAAAAAAAATCCATACAAAAAAACTCCATCTCATTTCATATTTTCTTTCTTAAAATACTGATAGACTCGTGTTGCCTGAGGCTCTGATGCTCATCATCTGAGCTCTGATTTATAGATAATTGTGTCCGTTTATCTTGGTCTGAAATGTAAAAGACTTTATTGGTGGAATAACATTGTGGTGTTAAAACTGATATTTTTTCAGGTTCTGGCTTTTCTCCTTGCAAATGATTCTGACTTGTAAACCTTCTGTTTGTCCTCACACATATATTGTTCTTATGGAAGCAATTATTCCAGGTTTATTCTGTTTAGATTAGCATAGGTATAAAGACAAGCTAAAGCACTCTAGTTTTATTTGGCCTCTGTAGACACCATTCACCAGGCATACATATCTGCAAAATGGAAATAACGGTCTGTAAATTGGCAACAAGAAAATGGTGTTTTAAAATCTGAAAGGTACCGAGCTCTCATGTGAAATAGGCCTTGTGCTAGCCAAATGGTGCTAAAAATCAAGTAATTTCAATTTTGCAAATAAATCACTTTCTGAAATGAACGAGATTAAGTTTATTCAGTAAACAATTCAAGAAAGTCCAAAAGTTTTGAGTAAGCTGACCCTAGGTTTTATAATTAATTTAATTAATGGGAAGCTGACTATAGCCACGATGCTTCCAGTTTTCATTTAATATGTGCTTATATTTTTTAAATGGGTATTGAATTTTATAAGATGTCAAGCTGAAAGAAACTCACATATTATTAAACTTTTTCTAATTCTATGTAACCTAAACATGAGAATTTTTAATGCAAAAAAAGTACTTTGTAAAAGCTCAGCATCTTGTGACTTTGTGGAGCTGGGAGAATGCCATAAAGTATTTCTATGAATGTTAGCTCAAATTTAAAATGAATTGGCAGGGAAGGGAACACTTGCAGAAAACAGTACCCTGGGGTGCTGGCTGGGGGCATATTCCTTGCCAAGGGTTCCCTTGATGAAGGGAAATTACCCACTGGGTGTAAAGCAGATGCAGCCAGTTTCTATACCATTCCTTTCAGCCCTTGTGGAAAGAAACATGCTGGGGTTAGGGAGGCATTTTGGAGGGGTGTTAGAGGCCTGGCTGCAGCGTGCTGCGTTTGGTTACCCCGAGTATGGTAGATAGCCCCTTGAGGCCTGTATGAGCTGACGTGTATGAGAAGAGCTCTGACAGCTGTAACATGTGCCCATGGCCCGAAGTGGTGATATAGCTGTAACCAGCCTCATACCTTGTGAAATAGACCCTTCTCCTTTCCCTCTCTTCCCCCTCCCCACCAGATCACTGTACTGTAGATTCTTCTTTGAATCAACCGCTGTAGAAATGTTATACTCTGTGCACCTGAGTGATGATCTTATTAACAGGATTGCTAATGGATGGACAGAAAAGAGGTAACTACTTTCAGTAGGCACTGAAAATAAAGACACATAGCAAGTAGGTCAAAGTAGTGTTAATGGTTAATTGGTGACAGAGGAAACATAGAGAAATTGGTGATTGCATAATGAAGCGTGTATGTGCCTGTTTACATTGATTCGATAGGTGCATCACAGCAGAATTAGTTTCTTCTTGAATGGCTGGGAAGATGACAACACACCTTTTGATTCAAGGATTCTTGTGGGAACAATTGCAGATACTGATGCTGATGCTACACTGCAAATTGGACAAAGTGTTACAGGTAAATCTTGTAGTGTTTTAGTGGAAGGCAGTGGAATATAGAAAATAAGATATTCATGGTGTGGTTAAAAAACATGGGTGAATCACATGAAGTTATCTATGTGCTGAGAAGTAATATCTTCTTGCAGGAGAAAATTCCTGTTTTACAAATAGCTTTCTCAAAAGTTTGGCTGAAAGATGTTTGGTAGGTGATCCTGTAGGATTGCAATTTATTCTATGTGTTGCTGCATATAGCTATGTTCTCCCGCATTCTCCAAAATATACGGATGTAAAGTGACACACCCCATTAATTTACTGATCATAGTTTTTCTGAGCAAATATATGAAACTATTTCAGAATGGGTTTGTGCATGGCCACTGTACTACACTCCTCTCCAGAGTCAGGAATAGAGCTGAAGATTTCTGGCTGTTCATGTTTTTCCGTTCTATCAATACTCGCATAAACCACTAGCAGGATGAGAACACCTCAGCCTCTAGTAATGCCTGATAGTGTTACTCTTCATCTGCATCTAGAATTTTATATGTACTACAGCATGACATGATCATTGCAGAACAGCTGGGGGATGTTTTGTTGCTCTCCACAAATTCTGGGCTTTGCAGCTGTAAGAACACTGACTATTGCTCTTCAAGAACATGCAGAATTTCAAGCTAACTTCTAAATATAACTGTATGTCACTTAAACTATTTTATTGTGCTCTTGGGCAAGACAGTCATTCTGTGCCCCATTTCTTAAAGTTTGTACTTGGAACTGTGTTTTGTTGTGATTTTGATTCTGAATACCATATAACTAAAAATGTATAAAAGAAAGGAATATTTTAAAATGCTTTTTATCTTTATTGTATAAATTGATAGGTACAGTTGTACCTACTGTATCTCTTCTCTAATTAGAGGTGGCACATGGACTGGCTCATTACTTCTGTCTAATGAGGCGATCCTTGTGCCACCTCTCTAATCAGAAAAGAGATAGGTACAAAATGTTCTTATAAAGTTATTATAAATCATTCTTTTTTATCAAAAAAATTAAGTCACTGCCCTCTATAGTTTTGTCCAGATCCAAGATGGTTTAATTCTGGAGGGGTAATTGTGCAAGAGAGATCTCTGCTGAATTACAGGTGCTCTCATGCAGTGTAAAGCTGCCTTCTGTGCAGTAGATTACTTATTTATAATATATTTTCTTAGGTTTAGAACAATTTGTGGGAAGAATGCAAGATTTCCGATTTTATCCAGTAGCACTTACAAACAGGTAAAGAACCTTTGTTTTTGTAAAAAAAAAAAAATATAGGAGTGTGGTGAGAAAAAAGACTAGACAACAACATGCTTATTTCCCCATGTATAGTGCTTTTCTGATGTCTCCTTTAAATTATTGCTTATGATGACGTGGTTTACTGAACCTCATTTCAAAGATGACTTTTAATCTAAAAGATCTTGAGTTAAAATAAATTCAGCAACTTAATGAGTTTTTCTTTTGAATAATATACCTTAAATATAGCTCTTACACATAGTAGTACACGTAATATATATGTAGTGAAACCCACACTCGGTAATAAATGTGTGGTTTTTTTGTTATTGTTGTGCCTATTACAACCTGACTTAGTAAGTGCTCTTGTAGGGAGTAGATCCAGTTGTTAGATTTCAGTGCTTATAAACCCTCTAGGTGTTATCAACTCATCATAATTTTGACGTAATTGTGTGTGCTGATAAGCTCAGTCCTGCTGGATGAGACTTGCCAAGCTTTCTCAGAGCTCCACGTAAACTGTGGGGTGAGGAAGGGGGATATAGTGGACCAGTCCAGTTTAGAGCACTTTACTGTTAGTGATCCAAGTGAAGAAGACGGGCACTCCAACTGGTCATCATGCTGGCTTTGTGGCTACGAGCTTGGCTCCCATGCTTAGCCGTTCCTTTCCTCTGGTTTCAGTCTCCACATGATATCAGATGTCCATGTCGGGCATTCTTGATGTTCTCCCAACCCATGCACACACCACTACCCCGAGGGGCTATTGTCCTAACTGTTTATTGCTTTCTATATTAGATTGTCATCATAAGCTGCCAATGGCTTTGCTAGCTCAGCCCACATATCCCTGGGCAATTGCTTTGGCCTCCTCCATCCCCGAGGCCAAATTAGGTTGCCACCACAATTTCTGTTGCCCTGCAGCCTCCATTCCCAGTGCATTACAAAGAAATGTTCCCTTTGTTATCTAGCTCATGCTGGATTAATCTAGCCAATTCAAGCTGGCCAGCAGTAGTCAGGTCCTATTTGTCTGCGTGGTGCTTTTGGGTATGCTACACACAGTGACTGCAGACCTTAAGGCTACTTAATGATAGTCTTTCAACAAGATGTAGAGCAGTTTCCCAGGAGCTCAGCTGTCTGCAGGATATTAGGATGAATTGAGCTCCTGTGAATTTAAAGTATTAATATGAATCTGAATTCCAAGTTATGTGAAAATCACGTTGGTTGTATTCTTTCAGAGCAATGCTTGTCAAATCCTTTGAACTACAGTTTAAGTCATTGACATGAATGAATTTTAAAAATTGAAACACAAGGTATTTTACAAAGTGTTCCAACCTAATGATGTCTTTGTAGATGTAATTTATAACCACAAATAACTTGGTCCAAAATGTTTATCTGGGATAAACTGCAAAGGAAAGTTTTGCCTGCATATCAATTAATTTAAGTCTATGGCTAACTAAAAGGTCCTGTAACTTTGCATTCTGTGGAATTTGTAGTGTGTGCTAGCAAGTATTTATTTGCTTAATAAGCATACAAAAGTCATGTTTTTACTGATAAATTAGGAAAATGGGAAAAGTAAGAGTGATTTTTTTAATTTAAAAATCCAGCATTTTCTAGGCTCATAAAATCCTTCTTTTACAGCAAAGATGAGCAGATAAAGTTTAGATAACCTGCCCGTGTCATTCATATATCTGCTTGCCTGCCTACCTACCTACCTATCAATGTATCTATTTCAGTTGCTGATGTCAGAGGGAACTAGTGACTCAGTGACGTTGACATGGGCTGTAAGAAGCACCTAGAGTGATCACAGGCTGGGGCAGCTAAAAAAGCAAGCATTTGTATTGAAGTTGGTTTAAAAATGAAAATATTTCTATCCAGGTTTTTTAAGGTGCAACGTGATATTTCTAAAGCTGGGTGTTTTTTTGAGGATTTGAATGCAAACATTCAACCCATATCTGGTTACAGGCAGTATGCCAATGCTATGGCATGCTTAAGAACGGTGTCCAGATCAGTGTTTGGAGTCAGACATGATGCTGTAATAAAAAAATTTTTCTCCTTGACTCTAGGACTATATTGATGATGTAGGGAACCTAGGTTGCCTGATTCCTAGCTGATTGCCCCATTTATGTGAGATGAAACCAGACCTTTAGGGCTTCTACTATAATAATCTAAGCTGAATTTTGTTTAATCTATGAGCCTAGAGGCACAAAGTGACATTTGTTCTTTTTTATCATGTATGTAATTACTTTTTTATATGCTGTGACAGAGACATTTTGGAAGTATTCTCTGGAAAATTTCCTCATCTGCATACCCAATCCGAGTGCCGCTGTCCTGGAAGTCATCCTCGGGTACACCCATTGATACAGAGGTACTGCATCCCTAATGGTGCGGAGGATACCACTAACGACAGAGTGCTGAGGTTGGATGCAGAAGCCCATCCTCTGTATTACATCAATGATGATGACATTGGGACCACCTGGATTTCATCTGTGTTTGCTAATACTGCAGGTCTGGATCATGGTGTTTCTATCACAATAGATTTACAAAATGGACAGTATCAGGTAATGAGAAGATTACATTTGCTATTTATTAAATTAAAACTAGGAAAAGTTTTTTGTAGACGTTTCATTACAATTTTGAAGAAATTCAAACCTTAGGCTTTAAAACATTATCTTTAAGACACCAGGAAGAAAACTTCCTTTATCAGCATGAAACAATGTGAAAGGCAACAGAATACATTATGGTTCTTGCCGTTCTCTTTTAATGTGCTTTGTTTGTTGTAACAAGCAGTAATCTAGAATAGATATACCAGAGTGGATATCCTGTGCAAAGACACCAATATTTAGAAATTGGTTGCTGTCTTTTAACTCCACTCCTGTAGAGTTCAACTTCAATTTTATCTTCTATTTCTATTAAACTTGAGGTGCTTGCTTTATACCTTCTGGTAGAATGCTGACTGCAGTCAAATAGAATTTAACATGTCTGTGGCACACTGCCATATCAGGGGGGATTTCTGTTTTGTAGATATTCCGGAGATGGTAGTTTAGCCTCCTGAGGAATATGAAAGGAGAAAACAATAAGCAGGCACAGTTTCTGAAGAGGTCAGGTTGTACCTAGCACTTTGTTATGCTGTTGAAGAGTGTCAGGATGTCTTGGAAGGAGGGACATATCAGCAGGAGAGTAGCATTCACAATGGGGGTTCTACCAAATTTTTGCTGGCTTTATTCTTTGTCAATAATGGAGAGAAAGGAAAGAATATGATGACAGGTTTTGGCTACGCAATTAAGAATTAGTCCTTCAGTAAAAAGAGAGTTTAAATGTCTGTAAAGTTCTAAGATTTGGCTTTTTTGACACATACACATTTCTGCATAAGCAGTATGCTGAAGGAAGTGCTCTTTAATACAACACAGGGTATTTGATGAGATTCCAAGCCAAAAATAGGGAGGCTCCTTAATAAATAAATAAATTACCTGTTATCAGAAAAACAACTCATGAAATATTTGGTAACACAAAGCTATGCCCTTCATTTTTGCCAAATAATATTACTGTAACAAATGATGGACTTGACTTTGTAATGTCTTTTCAAATGGTCTTCAAGAAAAAGTGGAGCTCTGGTGCAATAGTTCAGTTATTGTGTAATAATGTCTGTGAGATCAGTGAGCGTGTTTAACAAAAAAGGTTGTCTTTGTTTTAATTGGGAACATGTGGACTAAAATGTTGGGGTTTTTTTTCTGTCTGTGAGTGGTAAAGCAGCCTATATTGTCACATTGAAAAAAAAAGTTTCTATTCTCATTGTTTTACAACTTAGCCATTAATATTCGTTCATATATTTATCTTCTTCTAGGTATTCTATATTATACTGCAATTCTTTAGCCCACACCCCGAAGCAATAATAATTGAAAGGAAAAAAAGAGATGATCTAAACTGGGAAGACTGGCAGTATTTTGCTAAAGATTGCAGTATTTTTGGAATGGATAACAATGGATCTCTGGAAAAACCAGACTCTGTCAACTGTCTCCAGCTTCCAAGGTACGAGTAGGTATTATCTGCATAATACAGTTGCTTTTAACATGTAACATCGTGACACAATTCATTTCTATGTCCTAATGAGATAGAACCTTTAATTTGGTATACTCATTTATTATGGTCTGTTGAGTATATGAAAGATCCCAAATCTGACCTTTTGATTGAAGATTGCAAAAAGATCATCTGTCATTTTTATCAGATTTCAGACATTGAGGAATGTGACACAATTGATTCTTCTGTTATTTTTGAGCTAGACTTTTAAAATTTTATATGCTTGTGTTTTGGGAGGCTACTGTCAGTAGTATTACAGAACATTGAGTTGAAGATTGGAGGAAGGTACATATAGTTTAAAACAGTCAAGTGAATTTGAAAGTATTCCTTCTGATCTCTGAGAAGGCAGCGTGTTCTGAAGCTTACAAGAGAGACCAAACTTAAGTACAAAAGCCAATCATTCAGCTTTACTACTAATCATACAAAACATGTAAGAAGTGGGTTGAAAATCGTATCTTGAGGCTTTCTAATCTTTCTAAGCAAAAACCAAAATAAAATGGGTGGGTAAAGGAGTGTCATTACCTTTTAGAAGCATGTTGTAAGCCTTTTTACTAGACAGCTGTCATGCAAATTTAAAAGCATATAGACCATATAGATGTTACAAACATACCATATAAAATATATACCACTTATATGCATCATTGATCATACAGTATGTATAATACATTATATACACATAACATATAACATATAATGTATATAAATACATTAGGTGTATATTATAATTTTAGACAGACATGTGTATGTACATATATATTTGTATGTAGGTCACTACACATGTTCAAATTCACCATCTCTTGCCTGATTTAAGATGCCAGTCAGTATTAGGCTTGTTTAGTACTTGGCTGGAAATCAGTCAGAAAATACAGTACCAGGTGCTGTAGGCATTTTGCTTTTTTTGTTGTTTCACTTATGCTACCATCCTAAGACTTTTCAAACGTCAGCATCTTTGTTCTCCAGGAGCTCAGTATTCTGAGGAGAGGAGCATAAGGTCACCGGAGTTACACCAGTTTTCAGCAAAAGGACTTTGAGCTTTAATGCTGATTCTTGGAGCAGAGGGTAGAGGAGAAGGGAAATCTCTTAAGTAAGCCAAACATTTTTGGATAAATAATCCAAATGGGGAGTAACACCCTTTTCAGCCCAGAAATATATATTTGTATATTTTCTAAAAAGAACTGAGTTAAGTATGAACTGTTTCCATAAATGTTTTGTAAGTAGCACTGTTTCTCCCCTTCGATTACGACGTAACTGAGGATAGGAAGTGATACGAGTGAATGATTTTGGGTACAGCTGATTGTACAGAAGGCTTTGTGTAAAAGATAAGAAATATACCCTGTAATGGTGAGTATTCTGTGTATTCAAAGAGAAGTTACTATTGGACCAAGGCTCCAAATTTGTGTCAGCAGTGTAGCAGAGGTCCCTGCTGAGATCTTTACAGGAGTGGAAGGTGATTTTATTGTAAAACAGAACTGGTTTCTCTCTCATACCCACATACTTGTAAGTGTCAAGATATAGCCAGATTGTCTGTGCAGGATCTGGACACCAGTGTGCTTGTATCCTGGTGGCCTAGCCATGACTTCTTGGGTTGACATGGAAGGCAAATGACCTTGGCTTTGAAATCCTCACCATGGTTTGACGCCTCTTGGTCTGGTGACCACATGCTAGTACTTGAATGGACTCTTTTGTCCTTTAGGAGATGAAAGTGATTAAGGTTTTTGTTTCTCTATCCTTTAGTGCCTTTATAAGTTTGGAGTTACTCACTGTCCTTTATTCCCCTATCAGAGGCTTGAGTCTTTGCTTAGTCTGAATATTGGCTGACATTTGTTTTAGGATCTCCTTTGCATCTTCTCAGGAAACTAGGAAAACATGTACATGCTCTAAGATCTTGACTTGTTTATGTGGGTGTCATCAACCTTACGGTCCTTCTGCTGGTCCTTCTGGTACTTCCATACAAAGACAGTGTCATTTGTGTGCCATTCTACCTTCTTAATGTTTCTGTTACAGCTCTATGTGTCATGGAAGAAAACCACTTCATTTAACTTTCTGTGGAGGGGAAGAGAGGACAGTATCTCCACTAGAAACATACAGATATATTCCACTGAGATTTCTGTGAAGCACTGACCCTGGATAGGGGCACAGTAAATTCAAAAGTTCTTCATGAATACAGAGCAGTATGACTCAGCAGACCTAGTCTAGCAATGAATCTCATCTTGCAAAAGATTAAATATTTTGAAGTGACAAGGATTACATTGTTGAATGTTTTCTGTCAGGTCCCAAGTGATACCATTGGATACCTATTTTTAATGAGCACATGTGGGTGTGCAAGTTGCAGAGGCAAGTTCTACTCATAGCTAAACTCTGCCTAGTAAATGCACCAACATGAGATATGATTCATCCCAAATTGTGCCAATGTACAGTTTATATATACTTGTTCACTCAGCCTTTGCTTGAATTCTCAGGACCGTCATTCTCCTTCTTGGGCTTAAATATACAGTTTTACTCTCAATCCTGCTGCATTCCATTAAATTCTCTTGCACTTCACTCACTGTAAGGTGGTGTGTATTTCTAACTCTGCTTGCTCATCTAATGAGATGATACAGTCCAGGGACAGATCAAAATATAATCGTTTCTGTATGGTTTTTATGTGTGTTTAGCAGGTATATAATAAATAATACGGGCATGTTAATTATTATGTTAGTTATCTGAATGTTTTCCTTATGTAGTTCAAGCATAGTTCATGTTTCTCAAAGGCATTGTGTTAATCTTTTTGAGAACTTAGTGCAGTTGACACTGTATCAGTCACACTTTATTTATACGTGGAAGTTGCCCTTTAGAGGCTTTACTTTTAATTGGAAATATAGAGTCTGGAGAAGAGCAGGGCAGTTTGGGGAAGAATAGACATATAGAGGATGTTTCTTTTCCCCTGCCTGAATTCTGGTGACTGGGAATCCACTGACATAAGAATTTTCTGCAGAAACCACAAAACCCCCTCTTTGTTTAGTTAAGTGGAGACCCTCTGAGAAAAAGGATATTAGGAGATGGAATCTGTAAAATGTGTGACATTTTGATTTTTTTCCCCCAACCCCCCCTTTCTATTTAAACAGCTTTACACCGTATTCCCGCGGTAACCTAACTTTCAGTGTTCTTACTCCGGAACCAAATCACCGACCTGGTTACAATGACTTTTACAATAGTCCATCTCTCCAAGAATTTGTAAAAGCTGCACAAGTGAGGATTCATCTCCGTGGCCAGTATCATACTAATGAGTCTTTGGTAAATTTTAGGCATAGATACTATGGAGTTAATGAAGTTACAGTCAGCGGAAGGTAGGTGTTATGGAACTCTTCCCCCACCCATCGCTGCCTTTGACTATTACAGCTGTGCAAAGTATATAATGACCTGCCTAAAATTTAATGAAGTTGTTCTGCTTTTACATTTATGAATGAGAAGGGAATTTGGTCTGAAGCAGTGCATCAAGTTTGAAATGATTGGTGTGCTGTTTTTTTAAAACATTTGCTCACATGTTATTTTACAAGTAATTATACTTATTACACAAATCTGTCAAAAGCAGCCCTTTCCTTGGAATTACCAATGCCTCTAAGCAAAGGCTTATGATTGAAACCACGGCCAGTACTTTACTTCAGTAGCTCTTCCAAGTTTCATTATAGATTCCCAGACATTGCAATTTTAACAGATTTAATGCAGAGCTCATTCTCTGTTTCAGCTGTACTTTTCCTTTTAAAACTGGGAAGCTGTCAGTAAAAGTGTTACATTATATGTGACTGACAACTTTATTGTGCATAAGTGTGTGGACTTGTGAAAGGGCTAATTATATCCTGTAAATAACATGCAAATTTGGCAATGAAATAGTTTGAGAAGCATATGGTGCAGATTTTTGTTAATAAATATTATTCCTGAAATTATTTTAGTAGTTCTCATTTTGAGAGCAAATACTACATTAGAGATCACATTTACCTTAAAATTTTCTACACTACTAATATGTTTTGATTAATGATTTAGATATGTTCTGATAATACTTTAACTAAAACAGCTACAATCTTGGTGACTGTATAACAACAAAATAATTTCAGCTGTAGTTTGCAAAGCTATTCCATGCCTCCAGAAGAGCAGCCCTTCAGGCAGACTGGGATGGTTATTGCCTATTAATACTCTATAAAGTTTTTATTTCAGTAAGAAATGGATGTTTTAACTGAGATCAAAATGGGTTAAACTAGAAGATTATGCTTGATACAGTTAAGATATCCAGCAGCTGAGAAAGCCAACCCTATGCTGGGCTGTATCCAGAGAAGTGTGGCCAGCAGATCGAGGGAGGGGATTCTGCCCCTCTACTCTGCTCTCGTGAAACCCCACCTGGAGTACTGCGTCCAGCTGTGGAGCCCCCAACATCAGAAGGATACAGACCAGTTGGGGCGAGTCCAGAGGAGGCCACGCAGATGCTCAGAGGGCTGGAGCACCTCTGCTATGGGGACATAGTATGGGGACAGGCTATATGGGGACATATACAATATGGGGACTGTCCCCATAGTATGGGGACAGGCTGAGAGAGTTGGGCTTGTTCAGCCTGGAGAAGGGAAGGCTCTGAGGAGACCTTATAGCACCTTCCAGTACCTGAAGAGGGGCTACAAGAAAGCTGGGATGGAGGGGGACATGGGACAGGGACTTTTTACACAGGCCTGTAGTGACAGGACAAGGGGTTATGGGTTTAAATTGAAAGCAAGAAGATTTAAATTGGATATCAGGAAGAAATTCTTCCCAGAGCGGGTGGTGAGGCACTGGAACAGGTTGCCCAGAGTAGCTGTGGATGCCCCATCTCTGGAAGTGTTCAAGGCCAGGCTGGATGAGGCTTTGCGCAACCTGGTCTAGTGGAAGGTGTCCCTGCCCATGGCAGGGGGGTTGGAACTAGATGGGCTTCAAGGTCCCTTCCAACCCAAACCAGTCTATGATTCTATGAAGATTTCTTGAAAAACTGTAGCCACACTATAAGGCTTAATATTAATGAATAATTGCCATTTATTTAATATAGTTTTACATATTAATGTTATATACTGAAAGATAGTTTTCATTGTAATTATACAAGGTAACAGTAGCTCTATTACATTCTGGTTTTTATTTTCTTGGAAAGCAATTGTTGATACTTAAACATATGTTGAGTGAAGTAGTCTTTTGCAGGTCACTGCACTTAAGAACTTTGTCTTTCTTGGTATTTGCTGTTGATAGAACCAGAATATGTAATACAAAAAATTGTCTTCATGACCGTGTTATGTATTGTTGGATAGATGTGTTTCCATGTGTTAACTTTTTCTTCACTACCTATTGTTCTTTCAGGTGTAATTGTCATGGCCATGCTGATAATTGTGACACAACTATGGAACTTTACAGGTGCCTGTGCATCAAGGAAAGCTATACAGAAGGAAATAATGTTAGTCTCTCCTTTTTTAACCTATGAACAGCCTCAAAAGTGGGATTTTAGTCCTGGTAAAGAGTGTGTATATGTATATGTGAGTTAGTGTTGCTAGCTTTTATAGGGAAACTTTCCATAGCCAGGTTTGAATTAAATAAGAAAACAAAAAACTGCACCCCCCACCAAAAGCCATTCCACCACAGACTATTAGGAGTGCTCTGTTCAGGCATTTCTTTTGTTGTGAGAGGATTACGTCACTTTCAAACACTAGATGCAAACCTGAATATAGGCTGTCAGCATCTAATCAAGATTATGTCTCTACCTGCTGTAGCGACTAGCGAATGATCTGAAGAGTGAAAAGATCATGAAGACCCACTGTTCACAGATGTGTTTCAGGGCGGTTTGGGTTCTGTTTTTTGCTCTACAGTAGCTTTAGTCTGGTCCTATGGACTACACACCCACTCAGTAGGTGCAGTGCAGTAGGCACAGTCCTGGAATTCAGCTTCCAATTTTGTTTCGTTTGAAAGAGAACAGTTCAGCTGGCCCAAGACAACTCCATGGTGCAAACCAAAGCACAGTAAATGCAAAAAATTTGGGGTTTTGCTTCAAAACCAGATGCCTAATCCAAGGTAAACCAGTAACTTAGATTTACCTTCTGATGCTTGGAACATCTGTAGATACTTGGAACATCTGTAGATTGCAGACTTCAGCTAAGAATGAGATCTTTTAATGCAGGTGTTTTACAAAACATCTAAGATGGGAAAAGTTAAAACATTTTGGACTTGATTTTAAATCTCTTGCATAGTTCAGCATGGTTAAGAAAATACTGAGACATGCCCATACATGTTTATTTGGAAGTTATTTTCTTGCTGGGGGCTTATTCATTGTTTTGATCTAAACCAATGATTTGGGTACTGGCTTTTTAAAACATTGAAAATTGAGCTTAATTATTTATTTGAGGGCAGCCTGTATATGTCAATTTCCCATACTTTTACAGTCATATATGACATTTGGTTATCTTAATAATAATAGTAACAACATGATTGTTCTAATAAAAGAACAAACTTAATAGTACTTCTTACTGCTCTTTATTTCCACATAGGTGGTATTAAGGTTAAATTTCTATGAATTAATTAAAAGGACATATTAAAAAGTCTCAGTATGATGCTGCAAATACATTCTTATAATTTATTTGCTCTGTTCTTAATAAAAACATTTCTCAATAAAGAGGATTTTTTGTGAAGTGTATTGTGTAGATCAAACTTAACAAGTTGCAAAATTATTATTTTCCTACTAGTCTTATAAACTTGCCATAGGAGAACCAATATAGGATAGTTTAGTATGTCAAAGTCTTGTAGAGAAATAGGTAGAAGTGAGCTTAGAATAATGGTGCCAGTTTGCACTTCTTTCATGTAAACTTTGGTTTTCTTGTAAGCTTTTCACATACAATTTAGCAAAAGCCTGATGCTTGAATTTAGAAAACTTGCTCAAAGAAAAATTTCTGCCCCTAGATTAATTATTTATCTAAAAAAAAAAAAAAGGGAAAAAAAGAAAGGTAGTAGAAGTTAAGGTTAAGAAAGAATGTTACATCAAAAGAATGAATCCCACTGAATGTTAGATTTCCGTCATGAGTACCTGTTGTATTCCTTGCTGCATTTATGCCTTTTGGAAATATGCTTTCTAAAAGCTAAGAAGGGGTTACGTAATAGCAGCAGCAGTCACACAGGAGAGACTAATCTCACATCAAAAAACCTCAAGCAGTCTGTGCTTTCTAGAACAGAGCAAGAAGTGTTAACCTGAGAGCATTTCACATTGCCCTTACAATCATGTAAAAGATCTCTGTAATATGTCAAAGAAAATAAAAGTTTTCTAGTTTTTTAAGCAGAAGTGTAGGATCTGTAGACTAAATTGGATTTGAACAGAAATTTGAAGTATTTAGATGGGTCAAATTAGGAAAAAAAATTCAAACTGACAGTGTCCCTTTAATTAGAACACACACTGTGAAATGTTACTTTGTAGGGACTAATTATAAATATTTAATAAGGTCTGGAAGTTCACCAAGCACTCTTGCAAGACTTATGCTACCTTGTGAAAACAAACCAAATACATTTTAATGATGTATCTGCCTTATCAGATATTTTCTGTCAATGTTAATGGGTTGTTCTAGTGAGTGTCACATTTTTGATTTGGCATATATGCATTGTAGCTATAATTGAAATGCTTGAATTAACCGTGTTCATTCAGAGTACAATAAGGAGGTTGTTTAATTATTTTCCTCATTCTTTCATGATCATGTCAGTATCTATTAAATATGAAAAAAAATTAGAGGTAGTAATAAAATATAATTAATATTTGCAAATATATCACTAACTACTTTGTCAACAAGGATTTCCATGAAATTCAAATAGCTTAAAGTGTTTGATTTCTTTATAAGGCAAACACTTAAAATCAAAACCAAAGTCCATCCTGATTTTGCCTGTCATTTTGACTGTCCCTGCCCATGGCAGAGGGGTTGGAACTAGATTATCTTTAAGGTCCCTTCCAACCCAAACCGTTCTGTGATTCTATGACTGGCATTGACAAAACTCTGTCTTACAGACGTAGACCTATGTTTCTCAGACTCCCACCCCAATGAATTAAACTTTTAAAATAATTATTATTTTTGATTCAGTTAAGCATTTGGTGAAGGAACTTTTCCAAATACAAACATTTTTGCAGGGAGGTAGCAAATGTTTTTCAGAAGAAATTGCACCGTCAGCAGTCTTTTTTTTTAACTTCTGTCCTGTGCCAGCAGTAAGTCGTCACAACTGAGAGAGTATGAAAAGGTTTTTGATTTGGTGTGGGTGGTTTTTTTTTTTTTTTTTGGTATCTTGGACCAAAAATCAAATATCCTTTGACAAGCTCTTAACATATGGCAGAGTATGTCCTTGTCACATTTACACTTAATACAACTAAAAGTACCATCTTGAATTTATCTGGCATATACATCTGGATAGCTGTTGTGCAGCAAAGAAATACCAGAAAGTAAAAATTTGCATAATTCATTACAAATGGAAATCTTAGTTATTTGCATCACCATGTTATGAAATTTGACATGCCAAATGAACTTTTTTTTTTTTTTCTTGGAGTTCTGTTTTGATGAAGAAATGTTTTGCTATGTAATTTGAGTTGATGGGAAGAGGGAGTGCTTAAGAATGACTTGCAGATGTTGAGGGGACAGATTAAGAAACAAGAGGAAAAAAATCCTTGCAGAGCTTGTCTCTCATCTGATGAAAAAAATGTCCAGCATATTCATTTACATATTGTTCTGTAAATGCCTTCTGTCCTGCTTTGGGTAAGCCCCCTGCCTTTTACAAATGGAAACTGAGGCACCAAGAGTAAAGTCCAGATTTTGGTAACATTTATAAGAAAAGACTAATTTATAAGTACAAGTAATAGTATGTTTAAAAACTTTTCATGATGTCACATGAAAAAGTGGAAGCAGCCCATGAGAAAACAAGTCGATCAGACAAGCTCAGCCTTACCTCATGAATTCAGAGCCTCCTTTAAAATGGTCATACAG